CACCCGCTCCACTCACTCACAGAGGTTCATTCTGGCGTTTGGATGAGCACTGGCCAACTGCCAGCCTGGCTCTGAGATCCCTCCCTGTCTGAAGTGTTGTGGTCCCCAGCACAGCCCCGGGGGCAGGCACCGTCTCCATTCTATCGCACCTTGGAGGGACCTGAGACCACACAGCTGATGTGGCGGTCCCACGACCCAGTGCTGGTGAGTGCGGCTCGGGATGTCACCCAGCTCAGGAGGGCCCGCTGCCGGCCAGGCTCCTGGAATGGTCACGGATTTTTCTAAAAGGGAAATTTAATTAGCGCCGTAACTGAAGGCTCCTTGCCCTCGACCCTGGCTCATACCCAGGCTTTCGTTTCCTCGTCCAGCTCTGTGTCGTCAATGCAAGAGCACCCGCCAAGGTGGCTGTAGTCCCACCACTGCTGTGTGGGGTCTCTAGTCTCACAGCGCTTTACTGTTATCTGTTTTCTTCTCTCCCTGGAATATATGTCCTGCTGTTGACTGTTCCCGTTGTCTGACTGTAAGCACCGTTTTCTCTGTAAAGCCATTTTTGGGCTCACTCCAGCATCCTTCACAGCCCACCCTTTAGAATGGACTCTGCTCTTTGGGCTGGACACAAAACCAAGTGAGGCACTTGCGCTTGGTGCTACCTGTGCGTTTCTCTCTGCTGTGCTCTCCGGGGTAGAACCGTGCCTGTGCGTTTCTCTCTCCTGCGCTCTGTGGGGTAGAACCGTGCTCTTTAGTCATGTATTTTCCAGCTGGATACCTTGTAGACACTCAGTAGGCGATTACTGGGGGAATGAATGAATTCACCCACCAGAGCTCAGTGACTGTTGAGGATGCTATTGCTCAGATACGAGAAAACTGGAATAAAATTTGAATCCTGCTTTATTGCAACCTTTGCAGATGTTTAGTCTATTAGCGTGGTAGTTCACATGAGTAGACTAAATTAGAATTGTAATGTTACCAGAGGAGGCATCGACTTCATCAGTTCTCGTCACTTACCTCTATTATATGCAACTAGGAAGATGTAGTCTTTGCTGTCCTCTGACCCAAGTATTGTGAACTGCTTTGAGACTCAGCGTTTAAACAACAGTCTAAACTGAGCAAAATTAAGAAAAGTAAGTGCAGTACTAGGATTGGGTGTGATTCAATGTGTAAGGTCCTCATGTAGTGTTTGGGGTTAGATTATGTTTTCCCTTTTCCGTGGAATTAAAATTTTGTTGCTTTCTTTCAGTGAGTTTTCCAACTCATATTGTAATTTATGCTGTTTAAGAAGTCAAGATCTTCCACTTAAATGAGGTTCATCAACAAGCTTTATTCTGAAGGTTGACTAGGACAGACTCAGGTTTGGACCAAAGTTTAGGGCAGGGAAGTTTGAGAGGGACGGGCATATTTGTGTGTCCTGTAGATGGCATTAGCTGGAAAGGACAGGGCACTGCTTTGTGGAGAAGGTGTGCCATGATTGTGAGGCCTCCCCTACCTTGTGGAACTGTGAGTCCATTAAACCTCTTTTTCTTCATAAATTACCCAGTCTCAGGTATTTCTTCATAGCAGTATGAAAATGGACTAACACATGGCCAACTCTAGATCTTTCTATAAAACAATGCAAGACAGGCCTGTATTCTTCAAAGATGCCAAGGTCATGAAAGACAGTCTGAGGAGCTGTTCCAGGTGAAAGGAGACTCAGGAGGTCTGACATCTAAATGTGGTGTGAATCCTGAACCGATCTTTTCTTGAGTGAAAGATGCTATAAAGCACATTTTTGGGACAATTATAAAAGTGGAATATGGATGGTAGAATAGATGAAAATACTATATCAGATGAATATCCTGAATTTGGCAATTGTCTGTGATTATGTGAGAGATGATGTTTCTGTTGTGAGGAAATACATCCTGAAGTATTAAATAGATCACATGTCTTCAGTATTAAGGACTAAAGTACTAAGAGGCAAAGGTGTATGATGTAAGACACCTTCTCCCAAATAGTTCAGAAAAAATATGTACTTAATATAGATATTGGCCTGCAGAATCTGTGTCTGTCAATGCCCTGCCTTTTCTTGTCTGAAGAAATGTCAGATTTTCAACTCTTTCAACCTCTTCTTTCCCTACTTTCTTTCCATCCTCCTGCTCAGTTCATTAAATTAGCAGAGATTTACTAAGCAACTGTTGTATGCTTGCTGAATTGAACACATGCACATATTGAGAGCTGACTTTTGGTTTAGCGCTGTGGTTAGTTATGTCAGGGTGTCATAGGAACACATCAAAGAGACCGTTGAGGTAAGGCTTGAGCTGGGGTTTGGAGGATGAGCCGTCATAAGAAGGTGAGGAAGGGAATTCCAGGTAGAAGGGAGCTATGGAGGCACAGGTATGGTGCAGGGAAGGATGGCTTGGACTAGGAAGGCAGGTGGGTCTTGGAGCATGAATGCCACTGTGCTGGGTTAAGGAGTTTGGATGTCTTCCCAAGGCTGTGCCTACCTCCTTAAGGGTTTGAATGGTGGGGAGTGATCAGGTGTGCTAGGATTATTCACCTGTTCAGTTAACAAATATTTACTGAGCATCTGCTATGTGCCAGGCATGGTTCTAGGCTCTGGGAATTCTTTTTTTTTTTTTTTTTTTTGAGATGGAGTCTCGCTCTGTCGCCCAGGCTGGAGTGCAGTGGCCGGATCTCAGCTCACTGCAAGCTCTGCCTCCCGGGTTTATGCCATTTTCCTGCCTCAGCCTCCCAAGTAGCTGGGACTACAGGCGCCCGCCACCTTGCCCGGCTAGTGTTTTTTTTTTTGTATTTTTTAGTAGAGACGGGGTTTCACCGTGTTAGCCAGGATGGTCTTGATCTCCTGACCTCGTGATCCGCCCGTCTCAGCCTCCCAAAGTGCTGGGATTACAGCCTTGAGCCACCGCGCCCGGCCGGCTCTGGGAATTCTTTAATGGAGAAACAAACTGACATCCTTGCCCTTGGGTGGCTTCTAACCTTCTGCTGATGAAACAAAAACACAACAAACATCATCAATAAATTGTCTAGGGATTACATATACTGCTGTGATTAAAGTGTGAAGGGAAAGGGAAAGGACAGGACACCCCTCTTGGGAGTGACAGGGCAGAGGGACAATTTGAGCTAAGACTTGACAGGAGGCTGCACCTGTGCTGCTCCCAGTTTCACAGAAATAAGGTATTTGCAAAAACTCACATTTCCTGAGTATGCTTGGATAAGGTATGAGATGAGAAATAAATTGGTGTGATGACATGGTGCCCCCTGTGTGCCTAGCCATCCTGCTGCATCCAAAGTTACTTTCGTTTCGGGCGACTTTCCAGGTCCGGGTGGAGGCTCTGCGATGTATTTCATTGCAGTGCCCCAGGGTAGTGGGAGCTGGGTCATACCGTGGGCGGTTGTTTGCTGTGTGTTCTGTGTCACAATTTCTTCTGTGCCCTCATTATGAGGATGGGTCCTGTATTCTTGTCATTGTCCTTTGAGTGCTATTCCAGAGATAATGGGACACACACACAGGCGCGCGCGCGCACACGCACACACCCCCCCACACACAGACACACACACACACACACACACACAGTGTCTTTATCTTAGAGGCCAAAGTTATGGAAAATGTGTCTCAACAACCAGAGTTCAGTGATACTAAAAAGAATCAACTAGACTTTCAGAATTCCAACCCCCAGACAAAATATAGGTACCATATACCGTTTTCTGTTTCCATGACCAGTTCTGCTAAGATCTCATTTCTTCTCCTTAAGAACATGATTTCAGCTCATAGGAAAACTCCTTAAAATAGGTAGAAACATTTTGTGTGGTTGCATGTATAAAGTTGGAGGGCTATTTTCATACCTTAATTTCCACAAAGATCAAAAACTTGGTAGTTTGCATCATATACAATATATTAATGGTACAAGGTAGGTGTTTTTAGTTTGACATTTCTCAAGTGACATAGAGAGCTTGGGAGAAATACCTATTTATATACTTCAGCCTGCATTCACTTCCAAATACTTGAGAAAAGATCAAAAAAAGAAAACCTAAAAAAGACATTTTTTATTATAAAGATAGTTTATGGGATATTTGTATTATAAAGATAGAATTGGAATGGTGCTAAGGGAATTACAGGCAGTTCTGACTTAGTTCGACTTAGGATTTTTGACTGTATGATGGTGCAGAAGCCTCAGGCGTTCCGTAGAAAGCCGTAGGATACTCGGAATGCTGGGCAGTGACGGCCTCAGCTCCCTGTCAGCCACGTGCCCTCTGCAGTGGACAGCGGTGCCAGATGACTTTTCCCGCCTCCAGGCCAGCGTAAGTGTCCGAGCACGTTTAAGGTAGGGCTGCGCCATGTTGTTCAGTGGGCTGGGTGTATTCAATGCATTTTCCACTTAAGACACTTTCACCTTAGGACATGTTCATCAGGATGTGACCATGTCCTAATTTGAGGAGCAGATATCTGCATGTCATCTTACTTTGTGTTCTATTTGTGCTTTGTTGTTATTGTTTATAGATTAAAAAACATGTGAGTCCTCCTTTATTGCAACCCCAAAGTAAACCACCACAAGGCTAATTTTCATCACAGCTACTCTCATCCTGCTCGGAGGTTCCAGCAGGAACGGCTTCGTGATGCTTGTTGAATAGCAGTTTTCATTAGGCTTTAAAGAGTGTCTCCAAAAAACCAGAGGCGCCTCCTTTGACTTGTTTGTTCCTCTAAAGCAAGCCCTTATTTTGTCAAGTTTTAGGAAGGCCACCTACAGGTAGGAAGTGGATGAACCCTCTCTGCCTGCCAAGGCACTGGGAGGGAGGGAGAGAATTATTTTTGCTGCTTTTCAGAGAGGAGTGCAAGTCATAGAGTAGAAGAAGCTGCATTTGAAGTGAGGCTTCTTGGAGGTGCCTGAGTTTCCTCCTCCTGTTTCAATGAGGAGCCCGTGTTTTCCTGGCCACACTCAGAGAACCTGATCGGACTCCTTGTATCCCAGTGTTCCTAATGGATTTTCTCTTCTTCTTTTGTCCTGTAGGTAGATTCCAAAGGAAAAGAACCTTGTCACTATGATGACATACCCCCCAAAACACAGGATTCTGTTTATTATGCCAAAGAAGAAAAGAAGAAAACATTGGCAGAACCTTTAGTCCAAAGAGGAGCAGGTGACGTGCAATTTCATTCTACTGTAAGCAGTTTGGAACTTTACCAGGCTAAGAACATGGGATTTTTTTTTTGTTAGAAAAATGTTATACTCCAGAAATATTATTTGACTTGTAACTATCTGCTTTATTAATAAAAGGTTCAGCTTGTAGGTAGGTCAGTAGTTGGCAGAGCAGAAAAACAAAATTTCACTGCTGAAGGCAATGGGATTCTCTAATTAGGGGGCCTCCAAGATAAATACAGTGTTAAAATAAGCTTACACCAGGACTGAGTATCTTCTTTCCTAAAGACTGATGACATAGAAAACAACAAATAAAGCTATCTTTTGGGAGGAACATGAACATAAAAGCCACCTGGATTGTTTAGGTGTATTTTTTTTGAAGAGACATTTAAACGATGAATCTTCAGGGCTGGTTTTAAAATGAGATAATTTGGAAAGTGCTCCCACATCTGTTTTTACCACTCTGCGACCATTACTCACTCTCACTGAGCTCCTACTGGGTGCCCAGCTCCGAGTGAGGCACATTCAGGTCCCGTCTCATCGATGGGTGTGGTGGATACTTAGACTGTGAGTCGTGTGGCTGCTTGTGGAGGAGAAAGCAAGGTGGTGGGAGAGGTTTTCCTGCACTTCTCTGCAGCAGCTGAACATTTTTGGAAGTCGTTTTTCCTAAACACCCTTCCTCCCCTCTTGGCTTCTTTTCTTTTATTTTGAGATGATGCCTTGTTCTGTCGCCCAGGCTGGAGTGCAGTGGTGTGATCTCAGCTCACTGCAACCTCCGCCTCCTGGGTTCAAGTGATTTTTGTGCCTCAGCCTCCCAAGTAGCTGGGACTACAGGCACCTGCCACCACACCCGGCTAATTTTTGTATTTTTAGTAGAGACAGGGTTTTGTCATGCTGCCCAGGCTGGTCTTGAACTCTTGACCTCAAGTGATCCACCTGCCTCAGCCTCCCAAAGTGCTAGGATGATAGGCATGAGCCACTATGCCCAGCCCCCCCTTGGCTTCTGTTACCTCCTAACACCTCTCAGGTTTTGTCCTCTTTGCACTCTGATCTCTTGGCTCCCCCTGTTGCTCCTCTCTTTACTTCTCAGCTATAAATCTGGACATCCCCTAGAGCTTCCCCCTGGTCCTTTACCTTCCTGGCCCTTCCCACCCCACAATGGATGCATGGGCCATGGGGAGGCGAGGCAGGTGCCTGAGTACCCGGGCGGGAGTGTGGCCTACATGCTCATGCATGTAGGGTTAGGGTCATGGTTAGGGGTATGGGGTTATGAGGCTACGAGGCAGGTGTGTGAGCATGTAGGCAGGAGAGTGGACAGGCAGCTCTCAGACCAAAACCTGCTGAACCCACTCTACCCAACATATTACTATATATGAAGAGTAATAGAAAATTTGATCACTGTGTATAAAACCTCTTCCTTGGAGATGCACATCCCACACAAGCAGTTGGGGCTGCCCAGCACACAGGCCTTCCATCTGGGAGGCAGCCCGGTACTAGAATGTAGCTTTGGAGTTCAGATCCTAGCTGTGGCCCTCACTGAGCATGGAGCTATGGGCCAATTCCTTACTGACCACAGGCCTAGTAAGTTTGTTTGGTGATTGCCACGAGCTTTAAATATCAAATGCCTGGGACACAGTGGGTTCCCAGTGAATGTTATTTCCCCACCCCCCTCTTTCACCTTCTAACCTGTCACCCACAAGGGTAGGGACCCTTCTGGCTCAGTTCAGGACTCTGGGGACGGTTTTCCTGGGGATAAGGGCTGGGAACGGGGAGAAGGCCCAGAATGGGCCAGGTGAGGGGTGAGGTAGGTCCAGGACTCTTGGCTGAGAAATGAATGGGGCTGCGATTAGAGTTTCTGGTTTTGGACGATGGAGCTTGCCAGTGGCCACAGTTCTGCCTTCTCAGATGCTGAAGGAACCAGCTGGCCGACTTCTCTTTTTGGATTTGAAGGAACCGGCTGGCTGACTTCTTCTCTTTTTCTTCTGCTGTCACCTATTGCTTTCTTCAGGATGAGAATCAACTTTTCAAGAATCCTGGGCTTTTATAAGCATTTAATTCTTCCAGTTGTGTTGCTAATTAAAATGATTTCTAGCAATCCATTAAGCCGACTACCTCACAGTGCACAATTTTAGCACCTGGTTGTTCGAACCCTGTTGTTAAATAAGAAGCGATGAAGCTGCATTTCCTTTCTTTTTTTTTTTTAACTTTTTTGTTTTTTGAGATGCAGTTTGGCTCTTGACACCCCGGCTGGAGTGCAATGACGCGATCTCCGCTCACTGCAACCTCTGCCTTCCGGATTCAAGCAATTCTCCTGCCTCAGCTTGCTGAGTAGCTGGGATTAGAGGCGTCCACCACAAGTCTGGCTAGTTTTTGTAGTTTTAAATAGAGACGGGTTGGCCAGGTCAGTCTCGAACTCCTGACCTCAGGTGATCCACTCACCTCGGCCTCCCAAAGTGTTGGGATTACAGGCGTGAGCCACTGCACCTGACTGAAGCTGTGTTTTGTTAAAATTTACTCTATTACTTTGCTGTCCGGTGGGGTTACTTTGCATGTATTTATTTCTAACGGAATTAACTGGACACAGGCTTGGTGGACACAGGCTTTCCCTGTGCTTCATCTCGTGGTGGGCACAGTAATCGCATGACTTTCTGTGACTACTGACTACTACTGTGGTGGGCACAGTAATTGCATGACTTTCAGGGTCCGGGACCTTCATGGAGACAGAGACAAAAGCAGACGGGGCTAAAATCGAGGCCACCACACTGAACACCTTGGCAGATGCAAACGGGAAAGGTGAGAGGGAAACGGGGTGAGGCGGACAGGGTCTGGGACCCTGGGCCAGGTGACCTGCCCGAAGCTCCATGATGCCTGGCTTCATAACGTGGGTTTGGGTCAGGAAATACGCAGTGGACTCCAGCTTCTCCATGGGTTTCAAAGGTTTGTCCGTGTGATTTTCCCCCAGAAGGTGACGTGTATAAAGCACTGACTCCTAGCAAGGAAACCGAAGGGGCGCTGGACGTCAAAGAGGACCACCATGTGCAGCTGGAGGTGCCTGTGGACCAGGTGGGTATCGGGTCTGAGGTCCATGCCGCCTTCACTCCATCCCAACAGCTCCTGCCTGCCTCAGCGTCATCCTTAACCCTCTCCCTGCAAATTCTCTCTGGACTCTAGAATGTTCTGTGTTCCTCCTAGTTAGAGACTGCTCATCTCAGATCCTTTGTCAAGCATTTTCCTGTCTTCCCACCGCCCCCACAGCTTCTGCTGGAGAGACGCCTTTTAACACTTCACTGTGTGTGACTGCAAATTTGGCTTCATCATCATTTGATGATTGTGTCTGTCCCCTCACTAAGCTACTAACTCCGTAAGGAAAGCAGCTGGCTGCCTCACTCACCATTGGGCCTGTACCTTGCAGAATTCCTGGCATGGAGGAGGCCTTGGTAGTTTTTTGTGGAGTGATGACTGAATAATGGAATAAACAGTGTGATCGGACGGCATGATTGTGAAACCTTGAGCCTCTGTTTGCTTATCCACAGATGGGGATGCTGTCTCTGTGCAGGCCTGTGTGTGGCCCGAGTGTGCGACCAGCACTGGTGCATGGAGGACGCTGGGGCACTGTTCCCTCCTCCTGGCCTCAGGGAGGGGTGGGGAGCAGGGTTCTGAGAAGGGGGAGGGGTGGGGAGCAGGGTTCTGAGAAGGGGTGGGGTCAGGCCAGGGTTCCAGCCCAGCTGTGCACCTGGGTGAGTCTCCAGCACTCGGGCAAATGGCAGTTTGTGCTCAATGATCTCCTAAAATGCACGCGTTGTCTTCACTACCCACCTGAAGGCCAAACATGCGTTCTCTCTTTTCTTGAGTTTTCATTTTTAAGAAATTATAATTTGTCTTCAAACTTTTTTTTATCTTTGGTTATAATAGCAGGTAATATATCCCCCTGGCATCCACCCCTCCCCCACCATTTCCATCAGCAGAGGGAATTTGTAGATGGGCGGGGGTGCATGGCCTGTGTGCCTGCTGCCCGATAAGCTTTCATCCGTAGAGAGCAGTGAACTTTTACGTTAAAGTCTCGTCATTTTACCTCAATGTTAAGGAACAATTTTCTTATAATCTGTGCAAAAAAATGGCACCCAGATGTTAAAACATTAATGTTGAAATTCTGATTCAAGTACTACATTTTTACAAAAGCAAAGTCGTCTTCCAGTGATAAGATTATATTTATTTTCAAAACTACTTTAAGAAGGTGGGCAAATGTGTACAATTGGAAACTCTGCCGGGCCCGGGACACTCACCTGGAATTCCTTTCTTAGGGAAATAGTCTAGAATTTACTCTGAACATGGCCAATTCCATTTTAGTAGAGCAGGCTGCTTCATCCTTCCCCAGGTGGTAAGTAGGCTGTGCAAACCCCAGGTCTTCAGCTGAGGCGCGAGAATCTTGGTTTGACTGAAATCACAAAGGATTGGGTCCATTTCTACTCTCTGAAATTCAGTTATTTTTAGAGAGTCTCAAAGAGTCAGTGCAAAAGGAGAGTATCTTTCCTTGGATTCTCAAATAGCAACTAGGGCAGTGCCCCCTGCACTGCGCCTCCCAGGGATGTGATGCATTTCCCTCCGGAGAAAGATGAGAATAAGTCACCAACCAAAGAGAAACCAAAATAATTGGGACTCATTAGGAGAAGGTCAATCTAAACTTGGGTAATCTGTGAATTGTTTAATTGGAAAAAATCTAAGGAAGCTTTAGGCTTTGGCACTTTTAGCTGTGTAGAGTAACTCAGACGGAGGCCACTTGGGTCCTTGGGGTGTTTGCTTTAATGAATAAATTAAAAGTAGAATTAGCCACTCTATTTGTAAGGATGTTTTGGCTCTAAAGAATGGGAAACTTGAAGAGAAGTGACTTCAACAATCAGGAATATTTCTCAGGCCACGTCACAGAAGGACTTGAGCCTTCTGTGTGGGAGAGGCTCTGGGGTTGGCCCCCTCGAGCCTCAGGGCGTGGCTGGGCACCCCATTCTTCCACTGCCTCCCTCCGCACCTTCGCCTTTGGCCTTGGGCTTGTCTCCTCGTGATCTCGAGGTGGCATGTCCGCTGTGGTTGGCACACTGAGACGTGGAGTGCTGGGGAAAGGAGAGAGACTGCACCGTTTAAACAGCGGGGAAAGGCTTTCCCAGGGACCCCTCTGAAAGCTGCCGCGTGTCTATGCCTGTCTTGTCCCTAGCCAGGGAGAGGTGATTGACCTCTGGTGGTTTAGAGGAATCAACCTTTACTTCTTGTGTCTGGAAAGGGGTTCAAGTTCCCCTGAAATGTATGAATAGTATTTGAAAAAAGTTTGAATTTTTGAATTTATTTTTTTTGAGATGGAGTTTTGCTCTTGTTGCCCAGGGTAGAGTTCAGTGGCACAATGTCAGCTCACTGCAACCTCTGCCTCCCAGTTCAAGTGATTCTCCTGCCTCAGCCTCCCACAAAGTTGGAATTACAGGCATGCGCCACCATGCCCGGGTAATTTTTTGTGTTTAGTAGAGATGGGGTTTCACCATGTTGGTCAGGCTGGTCTCAAACTCCTGACCTCAGGTGATCCACCTGCTTCAGCCTCCCAAAGTGCTGGGATTACAGGCATGAAACACCACGCCTGGCCAAATGTGTTGTTTTTTTTTTTTTCGGTGAGAAACAAGGTAGCGAGTGACTGAGCTCTGCAGCTGTGACTGTGGGCTAGGCAGCTGTGGCTGTGAGCTAGGCAGCTGTCAGGGTACAGGATAATATTTAATCTGTGCCATCTGCCCCTTCTTCATCATAGAAGGAGAGGTCCGTCCTCCCCTACCCATATCTCCCCTCCTCCCAGATGCTGGACCCTGTCCCGCTCAGAGCCTCTCAGGAACTCTGTGTCATCAACTGCTTAATAATTCTCTCTCTCTCCTTGGTGTCTTCAGCTTCTCCCATGCCCGAGTCCTTCTGGCTGGCATGTGAGCACGCTGAAAGCACTCGTGTTATGAGTAAAAACAACTCTGCCTTGGTCTCAGTCCTCTTTGAGCGTGTCTCTCTCCTTCACGCATGGAGCTGATCTGCAGGGAGTGGCGTCTCCTCACTTTCTCCATCTTCTCCCCTCTTCTTTATCTCTTCAGGCTTCTGCCCACAGTGGCACAAAACAGCTCTTCCGCCCCATGCCACCAGACCCAACATGTTCCCCAGTTCTCATCGCACAGGACCTTCACCACCCATTGGCGCTCCCGGCCACTCTCTTTGCTTGCAATGCCCTCTTCTTTGGCAAGGGAATCTTGTCAAACGAGACTCCTGACTTCCCTTTTCCCTCTGGCCACTCGTTGTCCTTCTGTTAGGCTTCTGGTCATCTCGCTGGCCATCAGATGCTGGCATTCAGCAAGGATGAGGGGTAGGGCATCTTCTCCTCTCACTCTGGATGTCCTCTCTATGTGATATAAAATTCTGTATCACCCCAGCGTCAGTGTCTGTGACCTCCAGGAATATATGCACATCTGCTGAATTAACACCTCCCATAGATGTCCTAAGACACTGAAGCTCAGCAGAGTGAGAACACAACTCACAGTCTCCTTCCCCTGTCCTCAAACCTTCCTGTATCCATGCATGAATGACACCCCCGTCCATTCCGTAAGACCAAAGAGAAACTGAAGAGGTATTCCTGAGACTGACCTCTTCACCTCTCCCATATCCAGATCATCTTGGACTCTGTAGTCTTACCTCCTAAATGTGTCGGAATCTCTGCACCCCTCTCTGCCTGTGTTACCATCGCTCTGGTCCTACTTAGCATCCTCTTCTGGTTAGATTGCTGCTGTCACTCCTGCTTTTCAGGCACTGATCCCCAGCAACTCTGAAGCTCAGTGCTTCTTCCTGCAGCAGGGCTGTGCACATGCTACTCCATGCGCCAGGCATGTTTTCCCATCTGTTTTTATATATTAACTTTGTTTCATCTTTCAGATCTTACAGTAACAGTCAATTACCAGAGGATATTTTTGTTGCTCTCCCATGTATGTTAAATACTATTACAGTCTCTTTCTGTTCCATGTACCTCTCCTTGTAGCACCTGTCACGGTTCTTTTGTTTGTGTGACTGTTTAATTAATATGTCTTCCCTATAAGGCTCTCGACTTCTTGAGGGCCTTGTTTGTACTCACAATCACTCGTGTCTTCTGGCATTGTGGTGTTCAGTATGGCAGGTGTCCTCTATATACTTGCTGAATAAATGAATGAATCAATGATTGACATCACCTCGACTATTCTTTAAAATAACATGTTTTTGATTGACATTATGTCGATTATTCTTTAAAATAATAAGTTGTTACAAAGCTTACTTTTTATGTGGTTTGAGCACTCCCTATAGAGTTTTATTCATTGTGACTGCTTTTCTACATAAGCTATAGGAAGATAATGCTCATGCAGGCTTGGTCTGAGTTTTCAGAGGGTCTGAGGTCTGGGCTGATGGGGTCGGCCATACTGAAGACATAGCCACACGTCTGCCTCACCACGGAACCCTGTTCTTGCACATTCAAGATCAGCTGGCAGGAGTCGTTGGGTCTTTATGGCTCATTACTAATGGCAGTTCTTTTGCTCTGGTCACACAATGAGGATGCACTTCTCTAGCCACTTTGACTCAGGGTGGCCATGCCACCTGCCTTCCCTGATGACATGTGAGTGGTTCCAGGCAGGTGCATGAAGAGCCAGTGTGTGATTTCCCACACTGCATCTTCTCTTCCTTTGCAATCAGGAAGCAGGAGGCGCCGGGGCCTCCATCAGTGGGTTTTCTGAGTGGCTGTGGGGACGGGACGCCCCTGGCCGGCTGCAGTGCAGCACGCATACTTGGTTGGCTTGTTATTGCAGCCTCATCAGCCTGTCCTGACAGCTACAGAAATATAAAGGAAGTTTGTCCCAGAGAGTCTTTTCTTTGGCCACAGAACCACATTCTTCTCCCCAAGAGCAGAGAGAGGCTCCAGGACACAGATTAGGACAGATCCTTGTCTTCTGGCAGTGTGCCATGAAAACTAGGAAATAACCCTGGAGAGTGAGAACCCATTGCTGTATGAGGAGTGAGGTCAGGCGGGCTGTGGAGGGCGTCTGCTGACCAGGGAGCAGAGGGCCCTGGGTGGGGTCCTTACGGTGCCCCAAGAATTACAAAAGCACCTGCTGACCAGAGGCCTCTGGAGCACCCACGCCACTCCTTATAAGAAAGAGGTTTCTCCAGCAGTTTTACCAAGCAGGTTGACGTTTTGGTGGTGGAGCCAAACGCAAAAATGCGGAGTGGATGCCATTCTGTATTTGGAGAAACTGCAGTGACTTCCCCAGCTCTACCCGTAGAAGTGGTCTAGAAGGTCACACTATTTCACGTGCTCTCTGATTTTTTAAAGGAGTTCGACATAAGCAGTTGATAAAATGTGGTGTATTTTCTCCCCAGAGACAAGCTGAGATAGTTAAAGAAGATGAAGAGATACATGAGAACACCCCTGATTTTGAGGGCAACAAGGTGAGTTCATTTTATTTTGTGTTTAATGGCCTGGATCTAAGGCACCTAACACGCTGAACAGAGCTTACGTTTGGTGGTGAAAGGATCCGAGATCACGAGTCGGTTCCAAAGTACAAGCCAGCGTGGAATTGGAAGCGAGTGCATTTCCTAGGCAGCTGTGGACATGATCTCGTTTCCTGTGCCAGACAGTTACATGAGTCATTTTAATTGCATGTACACTTGTCCTAATTACTTTCCACTGTACTTCTAGTCACAGACCTAAAACCTTTTTCCCCAGGAAGTTTCAAGATGTACTTTTAGCAGGGAACGTCCAGGGAGGTGAAGGAAGGCAGCAGGTGTGCAGGTGGCTGTGTGGAGTGGATACCTGGGGCACCGACTGGCGTGGTTCGCAGTGTGGTGTCAGTAGCCAGTCCCTCCGGGGAGCACGAGGGTGAGGGTGTGCAGTGCTCGTGTGCAGATGGCGGTGGAAGCCAGCATGGGATGCTTGGCAGTGTGGATTCTCACTCGCTCTTCTTCCTCTTTGGATGTCCTGGAAACTTCCTCCATGCAGGGAGCGTGTGCCTGTGGTCCTCTATGAGATTATGCAACTTACTGTCTGCATAAAATACGTGGATCAGGAAAACAGAATTTACTTTAAATGCCCCATTTTTAGCTAAGAAGTAGACTTTGAGGACTTCGTTTTCAGAATTCTGTCTCTGGATCTTTATTTTTGTTTCAAGGTAATCTCTTGTTTTTAAGTTTGGCCACAGTCAGGAAGCTGTGTAAATTGATCATCACACAGGAGGCCGTGTAATGAGCTCCCGGATTCATTAAGTCTGAGAGATGCAATCTGAGTCTATCCTCCAGGGCTGTAAACAGGCGGGGACACTCGCCGCCCTGCCAGGAGTCACTTTTTTTTTTTTTTTTTGCTCTTAAACTTGCCCTGCAGCTTCCTGGCTGCCACCTCGAAGAAAGGGGAGGAGTGACTCCTAGGAAGCTTGTGCGCGGGTGCTGGAGCCACGCAGGTCACCCCCGGTGCTTGACACAGCTTGGAACAGGTGTTTGTTGGAAAGGATATGGGTCCTCAGGAAGTTAGTTCAGGTTTTTTAGAAAACACCAAAGCAGCTTCTGATCTAAAACAGTCAAAGAGGATACACTTGTAAAATAGCTCATTCTTCCTTCCTTATATTCCTGGATAGTTGTGGAAAGGTATCCTGTCTGTATCTGGATGAGTAGGGAAGACTGTTAGATGAAGAGCAAAGACAGTTTTTTATTTCTTTGGCATCCTCTGTCAAGGATAAGGGTGTGTTCTGAGAGCAGGAATGAGAATGCAGATGTTTGTCTCAGCGCATTAGGCTAAGAGGGGCAAACAAGCCACTGGCTTACCTTGCTTACCCTCCAGGAGAGGGTGCTGTTATGCAAATGGCATATTTCAATAGTGATATAACCTAGGCCCTCTGACTGCGGTGAGTTTATGCTCTCTCCTCAATGCCTTGTGCACACTGGTGGTTGAATTTGTCATCTGTGCTTCACTGACTTGTTATGGAAATCTACTCAGGCTGCTGAGGGGATCCATGCATATTAGTGACTTGCTAACAGCCAGTAGCAGATTTAATTTCTTAGAGTGAATCAAAATGTCTTTCTTAATGTAAGCACTATCACTGGAATTCAATGGCAAACCCAAGCACCTAGACCTTAGGTATCTGGGCCAAGGATCTAAGCTGCTGGGGAAAAAGGTGGTAGGGACAGCCAGAACTTGGCTCTTTTGCCCAAGCACTAATGACGGGAGACAGGACAGGGAGGGCTGGGGAGCACACGAAGGCATCCTGAGCTTCACCATGCACCAGGCACTGTCCAGCCGTTCCCATATACCTGGGCCCATCTCCACCGCACAGTCGCTCTCTAAGGAAGGCAGAATAAACAAGATTAAAAACAATGAGATGGGGAGTTTAGGTAGCTTGTCGGTGTCACGCAGGAGGTGATGGGGCTTGGATTGGAACCCTGTTTTGAGCGATTTCAAAGGCTGTGTTTTCTTCTTCCAGTGAACCATGTTGGTTATATGTAACTTCCCAGAAGAGGCATTTTCTGTATCAGGCTTCACACTGTGTCCCTCGTAGATACCGCTGCTTGGTTGGCATTACCTGCTGCTTCCAGGGGTGCAGGATGGCTCAAGTGTTTCAGTTCTAACAGCTCTGTCTTTGCTTCTAACATGACTGGAACAAAGCTTTGTTGATGTGAAGTAACCCATGGGGTTGAAGGTAATTGGCCCTAAAATTTGGCCCATGTTTTTGAGGGCTCAAGAAGAGCAAGCATTTTATATGCATTATAATAGCTGTAATAACAATTAAAAAGAAGCAGGACTCAATTAGCCCTTCCTGGCCAATAGGCCACAGTGAGCTAACCCTGCTCTCAATGAACTGTAGTTCACCTGGCATTGCATTTATACGTTCATGTGACAAATTAATCATATGACATTTATTTGATATTGATTATATTAAAATTTTTAGGCATAGGATTGCTGGCTTGACCTCCTCAAAGACCGAGGTTGTGCCCTGTCATCTTACGTGTCATTCAGTGTCTTATATACAGTAGGTGTATAATAAATATCTGTGGATTTGCTTTCAGTTGCCTATGATGAAGTTACTTAAATATATAATCCTGGAGTAAAATGCTAATTACCTTGCAAAGTTGTAAGAAGACATATTATAAACTTTATTTATAAATATGTATTGTTCAGGCGCAGCGGCTCACGCCTGTAATCCTAGCAATTTGGGCGGCTAAGGCAGGAGAATCGCTTGAGGCCAGGAGTTTGAGACCAGCCTGGGAAACATAGTGAGACCCTGTTTCTACAAAAAATTAGCAAAACAAAAAAAGGTAGCCAGATGCAGTGGTGTGCACCTGCAGTCCCAGGTCCTTGGGAGGCCGAGGTGAGAGGATCGCTTGAGCCCAGGAGGTTGAGGCTGCAGTGAGCTACAATTGTGCCACTCCACTCCAGCCTGGGTGACAGAGAGAGACCCTGTCTAGAAAGAAAAATAACTACTACTCCTAGATATAGAAAATATTTCTGATGTTTGATCACAAAGATGTGTTATTTTTGTGGTAAAATACAGATGATTTTTGTGATAACATATAAAAACACGATTTGCCATTTAACCATTTTCAATGTGCAGTTCAGTGGCATTAATCATGTTCTCCGTGTTGCACAGTCACGGCCACTGTCTAGTTGGACACCTTTTCATCTCCTCACACCGACACACTGTGCCAGCTCCCCGTCCTGCGCTAACTCCCTGTTCCATGCTTTGCCTAGCCCCAACGGTGTTGTCATTTGGAACACTTAAAACAATCCCAGCCTGAAGGAGCTATTCAGATGCAAGTGTTATGATGGGATCCTCTTCGTGCTGCAGCCCAGGGTGCATGTATTTTACAATTATGTATGTCAATAGCATAGAAGTGGGAGCAATCAAAATCAAAAGCAAAAATAGAACTGTGCTTTTGGATGACACTTCCTCATCCTCAGAATACTTTAAACGTGTTAATTATACACACGACAATTCTGACGATACTGGGCACTGTAATAACATTTTTTCATCCTTAAAAATGGAATGTTATTAACATTAGAACACTGGGATTTTCTCCAGTTCTTTCTTTTTTATTTTTTTTGAGATGGAGTCTTGCTCTGTTGCCCAGGCTGGAGTGCAGTGGCGTGATCTCGGCTCACTGCAAGCTCCGCCTCCTGGGTTCACGCCATTCTCCTGCCTCAGCCTCCCGAGTAGCTGGGACTACAGGCGCCCACCACCACGCCTGGCCAATTTTTTTGTATTTTTAGTAGAGATGGGGTTTCATTGTGTTAGCCAGGATGGTCTCGATCTCCTGACCTCATGATCCACCCGCCTTGGCTTCGCAAAGTGCTGGGATTACAGGCGTGAGCCACCTCGCCCAGCCTTCTCCAGTTCTTAGTGCTTGATTTGTTTGGACTCATTGGTTCTAAAACATCTTATGTGCAAGCAGCACTTTTTAATTTATGCTGCCTGTGAAGTTGTAAAGCAATGTGTAACGGTTTTGAAAAGGTTCGATCCCTTTCCGAAGCAATATGGAAAGTATGAATGGCAATGCCAAAAAAATATATCCATGGGCCATGTACACAGCGCTCTCTCCGAGGATGACATGAGCTTCCTATCCTTGAGAGTATCTCCGTGTGGTCTGTAGCCAGCTGTGAGGGATGCTTTAGAGAAGGGTTATGCATAGGAGTGGTCGGGCATCATGGCGCTCAGGTTTTTCTCTGATTCCTTGTTATCAACCTTTTTAATAGTATTTAGGTGTTTCCTACTTTTGAAAAAGCTGTCTAAAAATTTCATGGGTAATTTTGTGTATTCAATGAAGAGAGAGAGAGAGACAGGAAGAGGGAGCAGGAGATTGACTCTGATTTTGGGGTGATGATTTTCTCTTCCTCCAAGGGCATCCTGTGCACGTTCAGGCCTCTCTGGTGCTGTGCCCGATGCCTGCTGCGCCTCTGCCTTTCCAGCTCTCACCCACTTCCAGGGCTTGCTGCAGAGCCAGCCTCATCCTTACAGCTCTCTGGATCCTTCTTCTCCAGGGAGCATCTCTTCCTCCGCTAACCTCCACTGGTATTTTGTTTGTCCTTTCTACGCCGTCCAAAGCACAATTTGGCTTTAGTTAGAGCTGTTTGTGTACGTCTACTGCCTCTTCTGAGTGATTCACATTTTCTGAAGGAAGAGTCTTGACTTAATTCATTTTGGTGTCATTTTAGTGCCTTTCATATCACCTTGCACACAGGAGACTCTGGAAGATATTAGGTGACCAGTGTGCGGCAGTGGAGGCAGCGTGGGGCATCGCAAGGCCTCTGGCCTGAGGCTGGAGTGTGGCCAAGCAGGAGCTGAGCGTGGCCCCAGTAGAGGGGACTAAAGATGAGGGTGGATATTCAGTGAGTCTCAAAAGGCTATGTCAGAAGAAGTAATTATCTCCAAAGCCTTAGTGTTTATCTACATGAAAATCAAACTTTTCTCTTTGGAAAATTTCATAAAGTCAAAAGCTAAACAAAATAAGGAAGAAAGTATTTGCAATACAAATCAAATGTTCTTGATTTACACAAGTCTCATAAATCATTAACACAAAGCCCAGTAAAAAGAAAGGCAAAGAAGACAAACAGGAAATTCACAAAGAGGAATACAGATTTCCAGAAGACATAAGGAAATATGTCCATATCATTCCTACTTAAACCAATGCAGATAATAAAAATGAGTTTTTTTTGTTGTTAAATCAAATTGACGATGTCCAGTGCTTAATAAATCCAGATTAGGGATTTGTTTTACAATATCCCTCCTGCAGGTAATTGAATACTATATTTTTATATTAATATAGATGCAGAAAAGCAGCAATGCTTCTTATTAGGGTTATGTATGAATCAATGCAGCCTTTGGAAAAGAGTTTTTTCTCTTTCTATTAAAATTAAACCTGTACTTTTCTTCAACCATTATTATCATAGCTAGGAATATCTTCTGCACATTTTTTAAACCATTATTATGATAGGAATATCTTATAAATATATTAATTAACAACTATTAATATTTGTTATATTAACATTCAATAAAGAGAGAGAGGACAGGAAGAGGGAGAGGGAGAAGGACTCTGATTTTGGGGTGATGATTTTCTCTTCCTCCAAGAGCATCCTGTGCACGTTATATTAATATACAAATATTAATATATTACAGTGTATTTATGACTATTAATAGAAACAAATGCAATGCTCATCCACAGGGTTGGTTGATTAGTGTTTTACCAATAGAATGGGATATAATACAGCTGTGAAAATAATTAGATAGACTCATACAGCTGAAGGATGGGAGCTCCAAGATGTTATATTAAGTAAAAAAAATCAAAGTGCAACAGAGGATACAGGTATGACATGCTGCCTTTTGCATAAGAATGATCAAAAAGACGTACATAAAAACAAAGAGTTTAGAATAGGAAACAAAATGGAAGAAAGTAGGAGGAACAGAGCCGCGAGTCGATAGTGAGGATGAGGCTTGAGGCTTTACACCAAGCTCCTGAATGATGTTTATGAGAAAGAATTTGACCTCCCCGAGAAGTTGAGTAGAGGCGGGGGAGATTAAGGATTTGTTTTACAACATCCTTCTTGCAATAGTTGATTCCTATATTTACTTTTTAATACTAGGATAAAGAAGATGCAAGGCTTTGTGAAGACATTGAAAGAAAGGTTTGTATCAACAACAAATACTGTAGTTTTGCGTTTTCTACTCTGAAGACAGACCTAACAGGAGAATCCACGGATCCCCAAATCTTGTCAGGTGCTTTTTAGGAATGTAACTTTTTTGCGTCTGTCATACACCGTAGCTCTGTTTTCCAGAGTTAGAAAACCAGCTTGGAGGAAAAGAAGCAAATCACGGCCTTTCACATAGGTGGATGGATCCTTGGGAAAGGCAAGTAAGAACCAGGAGTGGAAAGTGCTGTAGGGCGGTGCGTGGCTGGCGTCTGAAGGTGCAGCATTTATGACTGCCTGGAAAACCTGGAAAACATGTGTGAATTGTCTGCCAGCTACACCTGTAGTCACTCACTTAGGTTTTCCAGGCAGTCATAAAAGCTGCACCTTCAGATGCCAGCCATGAAGCTAAGGATGAATGCGCTTGCCTGGCGAGCACAAGGGAGTGGGGGACTCACAGCCCTGGGGAAAGCGGATGTGTAACTGGGCCGGGGACCCCACCTGGCAGCGGAAGGTGCTTCCCTCTAGAAGCGCTGCTCTCCCAGCAGGACTGAGTTCTCATCCTAAGTTGGTAGATGACTAAGTGATGATAGTGGTTTTTGTCTGAGTGTGTCAAGTTTCATTTATTTAGTCTTTAGTTTTCCTAGACTCCTCAGCACTCCACAAAGGACGTGAGCCCTGAGTGATGACACTTGGGGAGGTCAACCTAACCGAAGCCAGCGTCTGCACACCTCGGGGACTTGAATCGGCTCCGCCTGGCTTTGGCTGCTGCAGTACCTGCCAGATGTGTGGCTTCGGGAACACTCCTTAAAACCTGATTGCCTCAGTTTCCTCCTCTATTCAAAGTTTATCTGTCCACTTGTTTATAACAAAATCAACCTCCAGGAGAGAATATGTGTAAAGTCTGCTTAGCGTTACTACTTTTATTCTTATTATTAGCAATAGCTGACTTGCAAAATATTCCTGACCATATTATGGGGGAGGGGAACACGTGTGAGTTGTGTCCTGCCCATGCACGGAGCCTGTGGTATGGGTGTGTCCCCATCGTGCAGTGAGACTCTCCTGCAGATGTGTCCCCCAGTGCACGGAGCCTTTCATGTGGGTGTGTCCTGCCCGGGCACGGAGCCTTTGGTGTGGGTGTGTCCTGCTCGGGCACGGAGCCTCTCGTGTGGGTGTGTCCTGCCCGGGCACAGAGCCTCTCGTGTGGGTGTGTCCTGCCCGGGCACGGAGCCTCTCGTGTGGGTGTGTCCTGCCCGGGCACGGAGCCTCTCGTGTGGGTGTGTCCTGCCCGGGCACGGAGCCTCTCGTGTGGGTGTGTCCTGCCCGGGCACGGAGCCTCTCGTGTGGGTGTGTCCTGCCCAGGCACGGAGCCTTTGGTGTGGGTGTGTCCCCCCATTCACAGAGTCTCTCGTGTAGGTGTGTCCCGCCCGAGCCCGGAGCCTCTGGTATGGGTGTGTCCTGCCCATGCAGGGAGCCTCTGGTGCGGGTGTGTTCCGCCCATGTATGGAGCCTCTGTGTGGATGTACAGGCAGCCTTGTGGCTGGAAGACCACTAAATTCCTGTAATAGCTTTCCCACTAACTTGCTAGGTGTCCTTTGTTAAGTAACTTGATTGATTCAATCAACAATCATTTTACATGTTTATAGGTTTGCTTACTTTACTTTTCAAGAATTAATGAGACAATGGTTTGGAAAGTTCCTGAAAAGTATAGCATATCTATGTTGAAAATGTGTTTATATTATTTGTATTTGAGCTAGATAATGAAAGTTTTTGTTCCTCAGCTTGACATTAGACACTTGGTTTTCCCCACTCTTAACTCCCGTGTTAAAATCAGTGTAATCCATTCTGTTATGTGGCGTTCCATCCTCTGGAACTCGCTACAGCCAACCTAACCGCACATGATTGGGAATCAATAATGTGTGTTCATGGCGATGTCCCTGTAAGCATAAATCATATCTGTTTTGAATGCCAAGTAATTCTTTGGAGCATTTATCACTTGTTTGGCATACATGTTACTCTTTTAAAGGGAATATTTTACCAAACACAATGGAATGAAAAGAATGCGAATCTGGCCGCATGCAAACTGTGCGCAGATAGTTTCATTTCTCCGACCCTTGGTTTCCTTATCTGTGAAACAGATAATTTCCAACTTGCGAAGTGAGTGTAAAGATTAGAAGTATTTAAAAGTGCCTTACTCAGTGGTCTGGGGTTAAATGCTATCTACTGTTGTTGTTATTATTCTGTAATTTAATCATGACTCCAATGGAGGTCTAAAGTCTTTGAAAGTAGGAATGAGATTTTACTCATATTTGCACTTTTCTCAGCATCAGGCATGCGTAATGCCTTACAGTAGACTACATATATATATATTTATTTATTTTTGAAATGGAATCTCTCTCTGTCACCCAGGCTGGAGTGCAGTGGCACTATCTCGGCTCACTGCAAGCTCCGCCTCCCGGGTTCAAGCGATTCTCCTGCCTCAGCCTCCAAAGTAGCTGGGACTACAGGTGCCCACCACTACGCTGGCTAATTTTTAGTATTTTTAGTAGAGACGGGGTTTCACCGTGTTAGCCAGGATGGTCTCGATCTCCTGAGCTCATGATCTGCCCGCCTCGGCCTCCCAAAGTGCTGGGATTACAGGCATGAGCCACCGTGCCCAGCCTATTAATTATATTTTTAAATGAAATTTTCTCCTCTGATACCTCACACTAGTTTAAAACTTAATACTTTGTTAAACTGTAAACAATTTATGTTGGTTGTAGACTTATTAGAAAATGCAGATAAGAAAAAAATGAGAAAGTGAAAACCCTGAATTCCTCTGCTCAGAGTCTGTTCTCACTTTTGTGCATGTTCTTCAGGACTGTTTTCCATTTTAAGTTTCCTTTTTGTGTGGAGTATTAAGAAGGTCAGAACTTGTCAAATAATAGAAAATTCTATTTTAAGAAATACTATGAATCAGTATTGAGGATATTTTCAACATTTTAGGTTTTTTTCTCAGTCTACTTCAGAATGTTGATTTTATTTATTTGAAATCGATTTAAACGTTTTTGAGCAGAGCTGCCATCACTTTAAAAACAGCAACAACAAAGCAACAGGCATCATGGACTTATGAGGAATTTTCCCAGAGCTGTGTTGCAAGTGTGGCTTCCTGGATGTCATCTGCTCTGAGTATTTGATCTCAAATCAGAATTTAAAAAGGAAATTTCAGTTTTTCTTCAGCAACAAATGTTCAATTTGATTTCTCATTGGCTATTTTTTTTGACGCTAATGAGAAATAGATTTAAGAGAAGAAAAGTAAACAGACTGAATATTTTATCCACTAATAGATTTTAAAATGTAAACTACAATTTTAAATCATGAATCTAGGTGTTGAACTATTCTACTTCCATCCTGTATTGGGCACATAGTAACTTTCTGAAATATGACAGCAACAAAGAGCATTCAGAATACACCGGGTGTGCAGTTTGCTGTTTTCATTTTGTGTTTTTGCATCATAGATTGTAATATGAACATCTCGGTCACTTCCGACGGCCAAGCAGCACGACAGGATGCTGTAGTGACAAGTTCCAGGTGCAACGTGTATGAGAAGATAATTGTGACCTTTTTTTTCCCAAAGGCTTCAAAAATCAAGTATAATTTTGATCAACAATAAATGTGCTATTAGTTAAAAAAAAGTACCTAAGATTTTTAGTATTTATAGTCATCGATTTGTGAAATGGTCTATCACCTTTTAAAGGAGTACTTTGTAAGTTTCATGACAGTGTTATGCATGATCATATCAAAGCAAAGTCCTTTTAAATGCATATTGGAGGCAACATTCAAAGCCTGTTAACATCCTTTGTTAAATGTTTTTCTTCCTTTCTTCTGTTTCCCTTCCTTCCTTCTTTTCCTCTCTTCCTTCCCTCCCTTCCTCCCTCCCTGCCTTCCCTCCCTTCCTCCCCCCAACCCTCTTCTCTCTCTCTTTCTTTTTCTGAGACAGGGTCTTCCTCTGTCACCTGCAAGCTCTGCTTCCCACGTTCAAAAGATCTCATGCTTCAGCTAACTGAGTAGCTGGGATTACAGGCATGGTACGCGTGCCACCACACACAGCTAACTTTTTTTTTTTTTCTTCGTAGTTTTAGTAGAGAGGGTTTCACCATGTTGGCCAGGTTGATCTCGAACTCCTGACCTCAAGTGATCCACCCACCTCGGCCTCCCAAAGTGCTGGGATTACAGACGTGAGCCACTCTGCCTGGCCAAATTGTTTTCAATGTGATAGAAAAATAGTGGGTTTTGTCTGCCCTTGAAACATTTATATTTTAGCCTATTGGAGAAACAAGAGTGAAAAACTGCCAAGCACCACACAAAACTCCATGTGGAATCCAGAGACCCTTTTCCTGCCCTGATTTCCAGACTTCCTTTGAACTGAGGACTGGCTCCTATGCTTCTCTTGAAGAAATGGCTTACAGTAAATAGTACCAATTCTCATCATTGCTCAACTTTATACTGTATTTATTTATATTTATGACTTGATCCTTCATTCTTTTTCTAATGCCATGCCTCTAATTGTTCTGTGAGTCACCTCTTTCAAGAAGCAATTACCCATTCTGGTCATCTCTTAATGCTCTCAGCCTTCAGGAAGCATGCTATTATAATCATGTCATTTCCAAATACTTTGCCTTTTTCCAATTATCCCCCAAGTGATTTTGTGTTTGCATTCAAGTTTTCAACAACTCTCCATTGGATGGTTAATTCTTTTCCTATTAAATACTCATTTCTTTATGTATGGAGCACATCCTCTGCTTATATGTCTCCTCCCTCCCTGTCCAGGGGTACTCACTGCTCAAAATTTCTTAACTAACTAAGCCTGGGCCTTATAGGATTAAAGAAAGAGAGATTTGATCCTCTTGTAGCTTTTAGGCTTTGATATTTCATGTTGTTGAAAACTAGGAAATTTTTGACTTTGGGTGGAGTCAGAATGACAAGAACATAAGAAAATAGAACACAGTGGGTAACTTTAGAACAGTAGTTATAGAACAGGAGTTATCTATGATCGATTAACGCTATGTGCTGCTGTGTGCTTGTTTTCCTACAACAAAAAGAGAATCATGTCTATTTTGCTTTTTAATCTTCTTGTCTTTATGACTGCACCCCAAATCATAGTGTGCTTAGAAATTCATTGAGGATTGAAATCCACCAGACTGACGAAGGGTCTTGAAGGAGACAGGTCTTCCCAAGGAGTCTCCTCGTGCTTCGGGTGCTCTGCGGAAGCTGAGAAACTGTGCGCCTTCTGCCAGTGTTTACCCAGAATGCCCCAGATGAGATCAGGTGAAAAAAGTGAGTAGTTGATGTGCTATTAGCTATTAGACAAGTGATAAAATAGTGCGGCCTCTTTAAATGATCAAAGTAGTGGTTTATATCGATTGACATAAACAATATTTAAATGATTTAACATGCTTAAGACATGCTAAGCTCAGAACATCGGCCGTTTTCCATCGCCTGCAGCTACTGATGAAAACACCGTTTCAGTGTCTTACCGAAGTGATGTGCATCCACAAATCCCTAACAGGCACCTCCTTTCCTTGTGTGCTTTCCCAGTCAACCAGCGGAGGGTTTTCATTTAATTAACATTGCCAGAAATGCCAATAAAATCAGGATCCAGCCTTGTCTCTGACTCAGGATTTTTGTGACAAAATGAAAATGGCATTGATTCATTAATGGATTTTTAAAATGCATTGCCTGCCCAGTATCTTTACTGTTTTTTCTCTTGATTATGTTGATACCACTCCATCACCACAGCTAAGTCTTTTATTGCTTCTTTAAGAGACAAGGTCAATAGTGATCAACATTGGAGTCTCAAAAATGAAGTGTAAGGTCATCAGTAATACTCAGTGGGGTTGTGGTGAAATATTAAGCAATGAAACTTTTAGAAAATTATGTGGTTCTAGGCCGGGCGCGGTGGCTCACGCCCATAATCCCAGCACTTTGGGAGGCCCAGGCGAGTGGATCACGAGGTAAGGAGATCGAGACCATCCAGGCTAACACTGTGAAACTCCGTCTCTACTAAAAATATAAAAAAAAATTAGACAGGCGTGGTGATGGGTGCCTGTAGTTCCAGCTACTCAGGAGGCTGAGGCAGGAGAATGGCATGAACCCAGGAGGCGGAGCTTGCAGTGAGCCGAGATCGCACCACTGCACTCCAGCCTGGGTGACAGAGCGAGACTCCATCTCAAAAAAAAAAAAAAAAATTATGTCGTTCTAGAAGTAGAAAACTTGGATCCCTCTATCCCTCTCTACATAGGAGATTCATTTGGACTCAAATAATAGAAGAAAGATTTTCACTTAAAAACAGAAAAGATGCTCTGGGCAATGCTCTTCATTAATAAAACACAAGGTATTGCATTGGCGTTTTGTAAGGGACAGTCATGGATGAACCAGTCTGCCTTTTCATATGGTGGGCTCCATGGAAACACTTTCGTTGTATTCATGACAATTTTAGAAATCACAACTTGGGTCCTGAAGAAAGAAATGAAATGGTTCCAGTCTAGCCTGGAGAGGGAGCAAGCGAACAAAGACCAGCGGATGCAGGTCAGTTTTCGCCACCTTGCCTTCCATCTCGGAAGCTTCCCTACTTTCTTCCTGGTTGCTCGGCTGAGGACTCAAATTCTCATCCTCTTTCCCTCTCCCCAGTGGGCTTGGATTTGCTTCCCAGCTCTCCTGGGGGCCTCTCCAGCACTGTGGTGTTTGCAGTGGCCTGGGCGTCATGCCAAGGCTGGGCCAGCGCCCTTCCTCCCCTCCCACTGGCAGAATGTCTTCCCCTCCAAGCTGCCCTCTGGACAGACTGCGGGATCCAGGCAGTGCTCTCATGACAGACCGCCTCAGGGCATTCTCTGCCCCTCTGATATGTTCTAACTTGTTTTTGACCTTGACAGTGAAAAGGAAAGGAGATGAGATGAAGTGGGTGTTCAGGAAGCACCCAATTCCTCATAGCCTTTGTTTGGTCATTCATTTATTAGTTCATTTTTTAAAAAATTCACCAGTTATCCACAATATTATCTGTTAAAGAAAATTGTTTTTAAGCAGATAGACAAAATTCTTACTTTGGGACATCTGCTATGACCTAGACAAAGAACAGCGATGGGATTTTGCTGTGAGCAAACTCTTAATTAAAAGTGTCAGTGTAGGTACCTCCCATGGGGTGAGAGGACATTAAAGTAGTTCCTAGAACTTGATGCCTGCCTTGTAATGCCTAAGCAGCAGGAATAGGCCCTGAAGAAAACAGAAACAGTCCCTGCTAGTTCAGCTGGATGGTCTCCTCTGAGCTATGCATCCAGTCCCTGGCGTCTGGAGCTTCAGATTCCATTTCTTTTCTCCACGAGTGGCCCCTTGTCCCACTTCTGTTGGCCTCAGGTTGGTGGGTGTTTATTAAAATATGGCCACATAATGCACAAGCTATTGTAGTCACAAAAAGAAAGCATGTTATTGTATTTACTTGGTTTTCCCCATGAGTTACAGAGATGCTATCTGTAACTTTTAAAATATATGAATTATTTCAAATTATAATTGTACATATAGTCAATTTATGATGTTTCTGCAAGGTACCAAACAAGCTGGAGTTTAGGTTATGGTAACTTAGACATGGTTGTAAATATAAATTTTGGACACAAAAAGTAACATTTCAAATTTTCATTTCTGGGAAGGCTTAAAGAGAAATCCTTATTGGCTGCCTACACCACACTCTGTGAAGGTACTTTTAGGGGAATTTATTACTTGGTCACCCTAAATTGACAGCCATATTTTGGAGAAAAATGTGTCTTCTCCGATGAGTAATTTAAGGAAAGAAAATCAAACGTGAAGAGGAAAGGGGCTTGAAAGTCCACAGGCACTTTGAATTGACAAATGAGATTGTTCAGGGGCCTTTTTTCTTCATATCTTCAGGGAACCTGGCAGCTTTTCCCCAAGAGAAAGCCAGTGTGAGAAGCAGCTGGGATTTGTGATTCTGAACTGAGATTCACTGTTCAGATTGCGTGGAGATTCCATCCATAAGGCCATATAATTTCCGTTCATGGCAAGGCATTTGTTTCTTGTTTGTTCATCTTCAGGATTTGTCTTCATTGATCTTTGAAGGAGGGGCATCCATGGCGTTGCAAAAAAGAGTTCCATAAATACAAACTCACATTTTCTGCTTGTAAATAGAATAAGCAGAAAAAGACAGGCCTTAAAAAAAGTTGTAGAATACCCAAACACAAATTTACACCTTGACTTACACTTAAGAATACATTTCACAAATTGGTAGATATTGTAGGCACAGATTGCATGTGAACTTAACAAGCCGTCTGCATAGTTGGAATGGGCGAAAATGCTCCTAAACGTCCTTCGGTGCCGCCTTCTGCACCTGAAGCCTGTGCAGTGTTCTTGCCACATGACCTTGTCACTGCTGTCCAAATATGTGTCACATACTCCGTGCACCTGCAGCTGACAAATGCGCCTGTGCCAGAGGGGCTGGCTCCCGTCCCGCCGTCCGTCAGCAGAACGGACTGAGTCTGTGGGATCTTACAATTCTGAGCCAGAAACACCACTGGAAATTCTTCCTCTCCAGTGCTTTTGTATGAGTGGAGGGGAAATGGAAGCATCTCTTTGCTAATATCAATACTATAATTTAAAAATATTCAGTCATTTCTCTCTTACAATAGAAATGCTTTAAATGAATTCCAAATAGCAGGCATCCAGTGCCTATCAGGCATGCCACACTCTGTGCCGAGTTCAGACACAGTGAGACGCAGCAAGGTGTAGACCAGGTCACTGCATCTAGACTGCTGCTCTCCTCAGACACAAGAGGCTGTGCAGAAAGGTGGTGGATGTGGGGGTAGAGGCCAGGTCATGGGCAAGGGGGCTTTGAAGCATATTTTTAATGTAATCTTTCTATTTTTGCTTGTGA